ATTAATGATAATTAGTATTGATAATGACAAATTATTAAACTGTCGTAGCCAAAAAAAAGGCCAAGTAGAGCATCTTATTCAAATATTAAAAAGAATTAAAATCGTGTACATTACACCAATACACCGCAACGCTCGACTTTCAAAATACGGGTAACTAGCTGTACTGAACTTTCTGTGTAAATTGAGGGCGCAATTGAAAATGATAGTGCTCAGGGGAAATTTGATTGGCTGAATCTATGGCAGCCATCTTGGATGGTACACACACACAGCTCTGCGTGGTACACACACAGCACTGCGTATTTCGAACATCGAAGACATTGCTGTTAGCGCTCTAGTATTCTTATTATATCTCTATGACATATACAAACATACACGGAGCACAGGTTTATGTCGATGTACCTTGGATGCCACTGGGTACGTGCATGCATGCGCCGTTCAACCACTGATTTTAACGAATATTGAAAAATTATATACAAATTCTTTATTAAATCGAAATCATATAACATAACATATTTCCATAATATGAAATATTTCCATAATATAAAGCGGACTGCAAGTCTTTCCTACAGATTCTTAAGTTTTCAATCATCTCATCAAACTGGGAAACTATTTTATTGAATTTGGTCTAGCCCTTTATTATTTTTATGTCAGTATGGTTATGTTACTTTCATTTTTGTTATCTTTCATGGGGAACACTCACTTTATTAAAACATTTTTTGACATGATTTCATCACCTTACACACTTAGGCCTAAAGGATTTTTCAAAAAAGATATTTTAACTGATAGATTTATCTGGTTTTCACGGAACTTAAAAAAGAGGTTAGAATCAATAATCACATGCTGAATATATTATTGTAAGAAATAACGATATTAAAAATATTATTTTCATCTTTTGTTTATGCATAATGTTTAAACAACTTACACAAACGTAAGAGACAAAGTTATGCCTTATTTTTAGTTAAAGGTTATAAATATGTACTTTTATTTTTAACTTTTAGAAGGCTACTCGTAAATACAAACCTTTTTGAGAGATTTTCATTTGTTTCTCATGTTCCCAGAGTGTACTTCCTGTGTAGATGCCGGATGCTTTTTCAATGAGTTGCCTGGTCCATGTGTTTCCTGACCTGGGGTAGCTTGCTAGTGCCACTAGGGGTAAGCTGCCTTTTGGCTTTAGACCAATATTCGAACATCTTGCATCTGTAACGATATGCGATACAACGAAAACAATTAGAAATGTAGTGCGTTCAAAACAAGGCAGGCAATTTATTAACAAGTGAGGATGAGCTCACTATGTGAAAAGACTGTCATAAAAAAAAAACAATCCTATCTTCCTCCTTCATATAGGCCTACAGTAATGCAATCAACGATAATCAGCTTAAAACCCACAAAAGTGACGTAACGATGACGCTTGATATCCCTGGCTATGTCTTTCAAACCGGTGGTTTGGGGGGGGGGGGTGGTGGTGGTCGTGTTGTATCTCGGTTCAAGTAAGCCTGGTCTGCTACAGCGTACACGGGACGGAGGAAATCCCCTATCCCTTACTGAAGGGTGTAATGAGTTCTTCATCGTGTACATGGGTAATAATATTGCACTCGGGACCAACAGCTTAAACGTATCATCCGAAAGACGGCGGGCCATCTGGAGCACAAGAGCAGAGGATAGGGAACCGGCCAGAGACGAAAGATCTCAACGATTTTAGCTGATATCACAGTAGCTACCACCTTTTTAGGAGATTGAGGTGAGTTGCTCTATCCATTGACGGACATGCTTTAGTATTCTATGTTACGGACTGCGGTGTGAGAATGACCAACAACCAGACGCAGTTTGAGATGTATGTCACACTTTCATTATACAGACTTTATCGATGATAATGCTGGTTTCCTATCTTATAATTTCACCAAAACAAAAGGCTGACAAAGACAAAGCTAAATAAATGTTCTGGTCGGAGAGCTGTTCTGAAAATAAACTAGAAATGGGCGGTCACGTTGTGTCTTTAATGAGTGGTTGGCATTATTTTGTATCAGATGAGCAGGCTCAATATCTGAGTTAAAACGTATTAAGCCTATATAAAATAACAGAATTGGCCTATTAATATTTACCTGTAACCTTAGTTCGATAAAGCGACAGGTATTGTTCTCCTCCACAGTTGTAGAGAGCCTCACCACTACATGGTACGTCACAAAACTTACTGTCTTTGTAGTCGAGTAATGTGTTTTCTTTACTTCTGATGTTGCTACAGAGACACTGCGTACCCTTTCCGAGAGCTGCGTACGTGTAACTCTGAAACAAATAAAGTAAATTTTAATTTTAGCCCGTTATACCACGGGCGTAGGGTGGTTTCATATTGGGGGTGCAACAATTGAAACTTGGGTGGGTTCGGGTTGCGAAAATTGCGGAGCTATATCCCTATTTCAACTAAAATTTAATTTTTCATTATTATTATGATAATCATCATCATCATCATCGTCATCGTCATCGTCATCGTCGTCATCGTCATCGTCATCATCATCATCATCATCATCATTATTATTATTATTATTATTATTATTGTTATTATTGTATTGTTCATTATAATTATCACCATCTTTATTACACACCACCTCTGCTGTCAACATCGTCATTGCCACCATCACCGTCTTCATCACCATCATCCTTATCCTACTGCACTGCCGTTCCTCTTGTAGCTGAAATATGATCCTATTAGCATTTTATCTGGTAAAATACCGTCACTCTAAATTCAATTTTTAAATAAAAACTATATACCCACAAGCTTAATGCACATGTTTAAACAGTGGATAATTGTCATTTGCTTTGTGTCATCTACTATTCCTCCGGTCACTGTTGACTGCAAATTTGTCTCGGGATACGGCCGTGGTACGCATGCCCGATAAACTCCAGGACTATCTACGTCAGTAAAGGACATCCACGTTTTTCCAGTATCTACATTTTATTGATCAACAATAGAAAAAGAACAAAATGAAAAGAAAAAAATGTTTGTGTTAGAATACGTTTTTCTTTTTTATCACATTGATCTAAAAAAAAAACTATAATTACATTGAACATTTGTTTTTCATTTGAATTAAGAACATTTGATGCACTCAGTTTAATAAGTCGGCCGACGCGATTCTATGAAGAACGCAACTAGACTCGACGACGCGCGCGCAACGGATCGATTTTAATGACTGCCATCGACAATCAGCAGACGGCGTCGAGTCGTCTATCGTTCACACCACCGGGAACACAGTTTGATTCGTCGTGCGATGGTTGTACGACCGTCGAACGACGCAGTAAGTTCCCGACTTTAAACAGCGTACGCTAAATGCAAACTAGTGTTTTTGAGACATGTGCGTATTCATAGTTATTAAGCTTCATTCAAACCGAATCCGAGTTGTCGGATCGGAAAAACCTAACGAACCGATCAGAAAATCAAATCAGTGTGCAAGAATACGGACGCTGACGAATTTCGGTTTGGATCCGATGTGAATGGATAGAAGACTGTTTTCTAAATTTCGTTTAGGAGTTATTAATTTAGTGGTCGAGAAGGGTAGATGGAATATGATTCCACTCCAGTGTCATTTAAGTAAACTCTGTGATTTAAGTTCAATTGAAGATGAATTTTATTTTACACTAATTTGTCCTTTTTATTCTCAGATCAGAAATGATTTTATCCCTAGATTGCTATACTCTTCCTTGCGTTGAAAAATTTTGCTTATTAATGTCTAATATAAAATTAACAGTGTGAATCTTTATTTTTTTTTTAAATTATTATATAAGGGCCAAAGGCTTAGCCTATATGTTTTGATGATGAATAAAACCTCATTTAGGGGAACGAAACGAAACGAATGGAGCTATTACTTTCTTTCCCTATTCAGGGAATTTGTTCAAGTACATGAGCCATTGGACCAAATACTAAACATAATTTATTGTAACATAATACACTTATTTCTTTTTTCAAACGCAAAGTAGACGTATTTTGCTAAATTATTAATATATTTTGTATTTGAAAATAACAGACAGAGCTTGTTAATAGATGGATGTAAGTAAGTAAATTTTGGAATATATTTGCTCCTTAAATCAGAATAATATGGGCATTGCAATATAAAGTGAAATTCATTTTCAATAATATTGTTATTGCATATTTTGCAGGTTCTTTTGTCTCCTTCAATATTTTCCCAGCTCCCCTTTTCAATCTCAGGTTCCAGTTTACCTAATCGTAACTTTGTCAATTATGATCCCAACTATCATAAATGCCCTTGCAGTTTTAGTATGCATTTCGCAGCATGTTAAGGCCTGGTGAATGGAAATTACTATTGAGGAATATTTCAGTCTATGCAATTCAATTAAAAAAACTGCTATATTAGAATCCAAAGTGTCGTTACTACTGAAATACATGTACACCACTGCCGATGCCCTTAAAACTGGACCTCAGACACCATATTGCGTGCATGCCTCACACCATGGTTGGTCGCAATTCCCGATACTCGCAAACGTCGTTCCCCATCTCCCAACACGAGCATGATAGTGCTAAGAGTATATGAGTTTATAAGTGATCCAACCTGAGACATGATTATCTTATTTGCTTGTTTTACTAACTAATAAGCACCTCGGTTATAATATTTCCTAAAAAAAATGTCACCCTAAGGCGGGAATTCAAGCATTGGTAGAGCACTACTTCCCGATCGTCACTCTCTCTTCAAAAGCCCGGTTTCTGTATTCATTAAGACCAACTCAGACAGCGTCGGCCGACGCAGCCCGACCCGATTCATCGTCGGGGACAGTCTTGAGCCGTCGTGAGAAATATTAAACATGTTTAATATTCTACGACTCGACTGCCCCCGACGCACACCATCGCGTCTGCGTTTAACTCACACAGACCCGACGCGACAACACATCGCGTCGGGCTGCGTCGTACGACGCTGTCTGAGTTGGCCTTTAGCCCTCTTTCGCCAAAACAACATCCGTTCCGTAATGGCTTTTTACTACGACGAACCAAAATCGATTGAAACTATTATAGAGTTTTGAATATCTTCATCACAAATTGTGTTTTTAGAAACATTCGCTCAGAACATATCAAACTACTTATAGTTTTAACGGTTGAAATTAAACTTCAGATATTCATTTGTTTTTATTTTATGTATTTATTTTTTGGTGTGGTTGTATTGGGAACAATGTAGTTGTCATCGTTTGCCACGTGATGTACAATCTGTAGCAAATCAGATTGTTCAAACAGTTGATGCTTGAAAAAATTATTCTTGTAGTTTGTTTCCAATGAGACGTTTAAGCCGTTGGTCCCGTGTGCATTTATGGCACATGTGCACGTTAAGGCCAACTCAGACAGCGTCGGCCGACGCAGCCCGACCCGATTTATCGTCGGGGACAGTCTTAAGCCGTCGTGAGAAATATTAAACTTGTTTAATATTCTACGACGCGACTGCCCCCCGACGCACACCATCGCGTCTGCGTTTAACTCACACAGACCCGACGCGACAACAAATCTCTCCCGGTGTACCGTACTGCCCAATCATCACCAAAAGGACCCCACTGGAAATAAGTCTTTTTTTAGACTTTAATGGGCTATCTTTGGTGTTTACTCCGAATAAATCCTAGAAAAAATACCAGACATTTGATGTGTAATGTATCACACCACCAACTAATCTCATTACCGATATTTTAAATGCTGGCTGCCTTTAATTAGAATATAGCGAATTTTATATTATTATGTGGAAGACAGAAAGAGGACCACTTTTTCTGGGGAGCTCGTGCATGTCATGTTATCTCCGAGGCTTTTATTACGGTACTCCTTCTGAACAGGCTGGTTGCCCCTGGACATATTGCCCCGGACATTTTCCCTCGGTATTTTTGCCCACGGACATTTTCCCCCTGTGACATTTTCCCCTTGGACTTTTCCCCTAGGGCAATTGCCCCATGAACTCTCCACCCCCTTACATCATTTCTCTTATTTAATTTCAATTATACTTTTTAATTTACAATACATTTTTATTTTTATTTTACTATATTTTAAGGAAGTAAGTAAGGATTATTAACTGCCACTGTTCTGCTTAATGGATACAGTATGAAGAATGGTGTTGCTATTAATTACACTACGGTCCAGTCTGCACCCATAGATGGCCCATCCATCCATCAGCATCCATACAATCCATATGGACATCAACAAGTCTACTATCCTAACTACCGACGCAATATGTACCCACATCCTACACGAATGGTCAGCGTCATTTTGAATGTGGCAGGCAAAGAATACAATGGAGATGGACGAAATATGAAGGAAGCGAAACAAAATGCGGCCGCCAAGGCACTGATGGACCTCAAAGAGGCAGGTGAAGATGTCACAACTTTAACTAAAGACCAGGCCACAATTACAGCATGCAGTGATGCTCAAACCGAAACAAACAAAGGTGCTTTTGAGTCCGATGAAGTAGGCAAGTCTGAGATCAGTCTGGTATATGAGCTCGCTCATCCTCATAACCTCAATGTAGAATTTGAAGTAAGTGCAGCATTTTACTCAATTCCCATTTGTTTGTTTCTGAAATGCTGTTAATATGATTCATATTTATCTTTTAAATAATGGAGTCCGAGAAAATTTGATGTATATTTACTGAATATTTGCCTGTTATTAATTGTAAGAATAATACCATGCTGTTTCTGTGTTTGTACCTTTTTGAGAAAAATGCATTTTTTCAGTTTTTATTATTCTCTGTAATATACACACTAACAAATATACATACCAAAAAATAAGACTGAAATTTGATTTTTTGTGTTCCACACAAAAAATAAATGCGGATGAATTTTTCATGTTGATTTTGCGATAGGTCGTGAGAAGAAATATCGTAGGCGCCGAAAACTTTAGCCTATCCAATGCTGCTAGGCTATGCCTAGCCTTACCTCGATTTAGGTTCTGTTATCACGCATAAAAACGGCCAACATGATATTTTCCGTTGCTAGTATTGACACTTGTGAATATATATTTCACAGGAATTATTTCAAATTTGTTAAAAAACTGATTCTGACTGAGATTTTTACACTTAAACAAACATATCTCAGCCTAACCGAACGAACGCATTGTGCGAGATGCGAAGTAGAAAAAATAATCTCATTAAAGAGGGCGCACTTTATTGACTGTATAAAGTATAAATAAAAGCGAGAGTATTCCAGTGGATGCGATCTACAACCTCTTAATTTGCCTAGTAACGATGAATTCGTCGAGAAAATGGTAATATTTTATGAGAAATAGTCTGTATTTCTCATTTTTTAAATTCTTTTGCGTAAAACTGAAATTCATGCCAATATTTTTCCATGATTTATAAAAATTGGAGTAATGCAAATGCATATTTTCTAAAAAAAGTCAATTTTTAGTGAAATTTTGCCGGGAATGGGGCTTTAAAAACAGCAAATAATTAGCTTTACAACACCTTTTAAAATTGAAATGAAAAATGAATTTAATGCACATATTTGTAACAAATACTTAATCTTACAAAATCCTTAACCACAAACCACCATTGTGACCAGTTTAAAGTTACTGTTGTGTAACTTAAAACCTACTTTAATCATTCCAGATGGGAGAGATAGACATCGTTTTCAATAACCAGACAATGGATCAGGCCGTGATAGGGGTCCAATTTATGAGATGAGTTGTACGATTTAGTAAATTATATATGTATAAAATGAAGTGTATGAAATGAAATGCTATAAAATTTATACTGTCCTACACAAAACAAATGATTAATTACAGAAGGTTCCATAAAACATTTAATAAGAATTATAACTGGTCTTAAATTGTTTCCCCTCCCCTCTATTAAACATGGTACATTCCACAACTGTGTGGTAAACAAAGATACTAGAAATACTAATAATATTTCTAGTATCTTTGGTGGTAACATTTGAAAGCTAACGGAACGGTCTTCATCGACATCTCTCTCGCTCGCTGCTCCATTTGTTGTTGTGGTGTCCTCCTTTTGTTCAGTAATAATTGGAGTAATAATTGCAAACTGATATTTTATTGAAATGGTTAATACCTGTAGCAATGTCTATGTACTAGTTAAATGGATTGAATAAGGATTTTGGACGTTCTTCTGCTAAAACTCAGCCTAGCCTAGGATAGCCGCTAGGCCTATTATATTGCCATTGGAAAAAAAGGAGAAGAGTCCGCACCATGCCAAGGTCTATGGGATGCACAGTCAGTACAGTATTGTGGTAAGTAAAGAAAAAATAATCTCCTTTCGTCCATAAATGTACGCCTTCCACATATATACGCCTAGTTACTTATTCTAGCCTAGGTATAATTTTGTAGCTAGTATCAAGTTTAGTTCAGTCAGTGCCGTGGCAGTGTTTCTGTTCGTATGACAGTATACTGTACTGTTTAGGCCAGGTCCTAGGCTAAACCTAAGAATTGAGTTAAAAAAGTGCAAACAGGTCAGGTACGGGCGTTGGGACACAAAAGAAAAATCGTTGGTTTTTTTGCCTACCTAGGCCTAGCCTAGGCTTAGGCCTCTTCCTTAACCTAGGGCCTACAGTACACAGTACCTAGCCTAGCTAAGCCCTAGGCTATGCCTAAGTCCTGCTCAAGGCAGGAAATTTGAAAAAAAAAATGCATTTTTTTTTTAAATATCATTTATTTATTGTATTTTGTGTCAACCAAAAATATTGAGACTTGTTTTTTGCACAGTTCAATATACTTCACTCTTTTTCAAAATGAATGCTTGTTAACTGTCAACTGTCTGACCTCAATAATATATAATAATAATTGGTATTTTAAATTTGACACCCACACAAGTCATGCTCAAAAACATCAATAGCTGGAACTTTTTATTATAATATACTCGTATTCTATACATAGGAAGTTTTCAATTATGCTATAATTAAAGTTTGAAATATTTCAAGCATAATTATATTGTTGTTGACCAAAAAATATGGTATAATTAACTGGGGTGTGAATATTTTCCATGGATGTCCATTGACAGTCAAATACTAATAGCATGCGCAAATGTAGGAGGAAAGTTTACTAATAAATAGTAAATAATTATCTATCTTCCAATAGATTGACATTGGCCATGGTTTACTTATAGAAAAGGATCCATGATAGGGAAGAAAAGCAACGCACATGTGGAACTTGGTAGAGAAAGAGTGTTTGAATCCCATCTGAATTACTGCCATAACAGGTACTGTAGGTAATTTGTTAAATAAGTTTGTGTTTTACCTTTTAAAAGAAGATACTGCAGGCTTACGTACTGTAATAAGGGATTTATATTTCAAAAGATAAATGGTACATCAACATGTAAAGCTTTTTTATTTGGGTTAGACGTTGATTTTTTTTCTTTAAATTTTAATCTGAAAGTTTGCATTGTCACTTTGTAACCAATTAATAACCATCAAAAGGGAGCCCGTCTTTATTACTGACTTAACCTACACAGTAGCTACATCTTACTGTATATGTTGAGGGAAGAAACTTTAATATTAGACAGTTAATGAAGAAAATATTTTGCTACAAGTGGAATACTTATATTAAAATTATATTTAGATTTTGTACAAGATAACAAATATGAAATAATACTTTTATTGGACCACTACTTTTAAGGTACTGTATCTGCATTTTATTCTTTAGAGATTACAATAACTAACTTTAGACATTGCACCGAAATTATTAAAATTCATCCTGCTCTTGGTGGTTGTCCGTTTATAAGTTTTCGATTAGAAGCCTATAAGAGTATTCAAATTTTTTGCATTTTTTTTACCCCCAGATTTCACTGATAAGAAGTATCCTGAGGCATCAACCACTCTTTTGAGGCAGT